ATTTAATTTTATAATTTAATGATGTAGATTTTATTATTCTTTTTTTCAAACCATATTCCAACCATTAAAAAAAATGTTGTTGTATATATATTATTATAGTATCCATGGGAATTCTTGGAATTTAAATTTAATAATTTAATGTTTGTATTTTCAAATCATCGAAAAAATTGTTGTTGTATATTATTATAGTGTCCATTGGAATCTTGAAATTTAAATGATGCACGTGATGGTCGTTGGATTGAATAAAATACGAGAGAAATGAGCATGACATACCCCATGTCCAAACTTCTAATCTAATGGCTATGTTTGGTAAAACTAGCTGATAAGCTAGTTGATAGCTGATAAGCTAACTTATAACTTATATGTAATTTTTGAGCTTATAACTTATAGCTTATGACTTATAGCTGAAAAGCTAACTTATATGATAAAAGGTGTTTGGTAAATTAGCTGATAAGCTAGCTGAAATAAAAAATTCAACTAGCTTATTTGAAAAGCTACCTAAAGTAGCTTATGAAATAAGCTCGAGCTTTTTAAAAAAGCTCGTCCTACCAAACGAGACTTATTTTAAACAGGGAGCTTATAAGCTAACCAAATAAGCTATAAGCTAGCTTATTTGGCTTACCAAACATACCCTAAGAAATAAAACTCCATTTCCCACTACATTGTAAATCGTTAGTTTCTCCTTTTATTTTAAAATCTACTAGTACGCTACCCGCGCGATGCGCAGCCTGATGTTATAAGTGATGTGGGTACATAATAATTCAAATGAATGAAAAGTTATTCAATAAAAAGTATAATAATTTTTTGATTTATCACATCTTAAAATTTTATTAAAAAAAATTATAACTCTAGAAACAACAATAATGTGCGACAGTATGTGATTAAAACATAGAATATGTTTTTTCCTTCAAATTTTTAAAATTAAATTCATTAAACTTACAAAAAAGAAACATATATGGGATGTTCAATATAATAAAGTATTTGTCATATTAATTTCCTGATATTTTTTTATTTATAAAATTGTCTCTTTAATAAAATAGTTTTCATTATCTTGAAACAAAATAAAGTCATTGTTACTATTATACAAATAAATTGCTATGCACATAATTAATGTTAACATATATGAGTCAATTAAAATTAAGAAACATAAATTGAATGCTTGATTAAAAAACACAAAGACGGCCCAACTTTTGGTCTCATGTATCTAGTTTTAAATTAGACCCACATGTTTTACTTTTTATTAAAAAAATTAAATATCAGCCATTCATTTTTAGTAAAATAAGTGTGAGGGTGACATGAGAATGATGTGCATAATGGATCATTTTTTTGTAAAGTTACAGATAGGTCGTTA